ATAATTCGGGCTCAATTTATAAACATTTTTTTTTTAAATAGAAACGAAACTACCACGAGAGCATCAGCCTTCAGTATTCAACAAGAATTATGGAATAAATTTATTTTACTACCTTAAAAACTTTAGATATATGTAGTTGATTTTGAATGCTCTAAACAATTTTTGCATAGCAAACATTGAATTACCTCCCTTACATTGCCGTAACTAACTGAACCTTCCATTGAGTCGAGAATAAAACGAAAAATAGGGTCATAAAGGCAATTCACCTTTTCCCCTTTGAGCAAAACCTTTAGATTATTTCAATTAATATGGTATGAATTGAGAGAAACCAATAAAAGCATAAGAGCAAAAAGGAAAGATGTTGAAAATAGTTGGTGTTAGAGTTTCAATTTTTTTTTTTAAACCACAAAAACACATTTCTTCTTACAACAGTTTTCATTTTATTTCTGGTACTATTAGGTTCAACCTTTTAAAATTTCATTTAAAAATTCAGAGACTTACTGACTACAAATGTTGAATTAATTTTAACTAACGGAAAAAATAGTTGAAGTGTATTGCATTTCGAAAGTTATCTGTTTCGAATTCGTGGTGAATTCAGAATCTGAGCCGTTCAAGATTTTTAATTCCAATCTAAGGGAGATAAATCAGTTACGTAAAAATAATTTGAAGTCCTTAAAATGTCTTTTTCGATTTCTTTGGAAAACGAAATTTGAATGATGCAAGATTTTAGAATTTACGAAAGAAGTCATTGCCAAACTTTGTAAAACTAATGAAAAATATTTTTTTCAAGAAAATTAGTTAGAATATCAAATTTAAAGAGCTCAGAATATGAGGTTAGTTAAAGAAATAGAGGAAGATAATGCAATCTTTGCAATGTGAAAATTGTTTAGAGCGGTAAAAAAAAAATCAACAATAGCTGAAGTTCATTATTTTATTTCATTGATATTAACTGCGTTATTTTCTTTGGTATTCGTACTCCTACCTGTGACGCAAACAGTTCTCTTGTCACTGCTTACCACTATAAATAGTATCAGTCCTTAAATGCTAGCTTGCATTTACCAGTCAAAAATAATACAGAAACATATTCTAAATATCGTCTACCATAAAAAAAAAAAAAAAAAAATAGACGTCGATATTCCATTCCAGAAAATAAAATAGTAAACCAAAATATGGACAATTCTTTTCTAGTTTCGTTTTCTTTTGTAAATTTGCGTAAAAGCTAAATTTTCTTTGTCTCCTAATCTCACATCAAGAGAACAAAACAGGAAGACAGCTATTATTATGTCAGTCTTACAACATCTTTACAGAATTATATCAGATTTTTGGCCCAACAACTTTACTTACGATCTTATATTGTTGTCGCCTGCAATTTTACATTTTTGCTACTAATTAGTCAAGTGCATCCAAATACGGTAGAGCAATTGGAAAAATAGTAAGCTTGGTGAATTCATTTTTATTATAAACATTAGAAAATTATTCAAATAAGTAAAATAACATCGTCTGCTAACTTATTTTGAATTATTATTAATAGAAATGTTTGCAGAGCTATGTACATATTTTTTTCTTTTGTACCGTGTACCTCAAGATAAATTTCAGTACTCATTAGATATTTCTTCTTTCTCTTGTTTGTGTCTTGGAATGTTTATATAGTGCATTCTTTGACTTGCACACATGTTATCAATATTTACTTAAGTCTCATGCTGTTAACCGTACAGTCATGTCACTGTCGAACAGTGAGACCAGCGTCACCGAGCCCTGTTAAGTATTAAGTATTTAAAACTACCAATTAAAATCAGTATAATCCGACTTTGTAAGACTAATATTTACAAAACAATGTAGTTTTGTACTACATACACACACGCAAATATGTTACTACGAAAATAATGCCTCCCATTTTATTATGTTTATTGTTTACTTACGGTGTTAGAGGTGGATGTTGGTTTAGCAGTAAAGATTGAATCTTCCCGCCAGTAATCCATGATTTTTTGTCTTGTTTCACATAGTATCTCAGTGGAAGTCTGACATTAATAATGTGTATAGGAAGAAGTGGCGCGTCATTGACTTCTTTCATGTCGGGGGGAAAAATGTATTCCTTGACATCTCATGACGTTTACGGGGAACCAAATAGTGGAAATGAACACAGTTAAATGAAACATTTTAGCAGCAGCGACCAGCAATGCGTGTGACAAGCCACATTCCAAGCGCAACATATAGGCTCTTGCTCATCGCTGGCGAATATACAAAGCCAATGGCGGTGACTGTAAAAAGCTTGTTCTAGTCAACAATATTACTATACTATCTATTTCAGGTTTGAGTGTGTGAGAGAGATATTCGACAGTGAGAACATAAAGATCAACATTGTATGCTGATTGTCAGCCTCAAGCGATCTTCAGACCACGTGAAAGTCACCATGCAGTGTTGATTGCTATATCTACAAACACCATCTCGAATATTGAGTACTCATCCTCTCTAATTTTTTTTGTGTATATAGTTTAGACGATTTCATTTAGTTTCTTTTTCTTTGTTTTTATCACTTTTGTTATTAAATATTCCACATTGTGATAATAGAGGATCTGCCTACAAAAGTAAAATGTTCTAAGAACTTGGATATAAATTTACTGTAGATGATCTAACGATGATCACTTTCTATACATTTTTGTTTTAGTAAATTCCTCTTTCTTTTAATTAAAGTAGCATATATAAAAAAAAAAAAAAAAAAAAAAATCAAAATTATGAGCAGACTCGTCATGGTGAGCGGCTGAGCTTTTTGCTAAAAATATCTCTTGTATTCGTATGGTCTTTTATTCAAATTCATTGAGGTTTCTCCTATGTATTCCTTGTGGCAATTAATACAGATGAGAGTAAATTCCCCTCTCCTTCATGTGCAAATGCAATCGCATCATCATCACATTTTAGTTCGATGAATGCCTAAAGGACGAAATGCGTCACACGACGTTCTTTTTTTTTTTTTTACGTTTTCCATAGATTTTCTTAAAATTGTTCTTGATGTATCACATTTTATATATAGTTCTCTCTCTCTCTATATACACACACACATATATATATATATATATATATATATATATATATACACACACACACAGTGTACGAGGACGGCCACCAACATGTCAATTTTAGGAAACTTGATGGTATCAGCGCGATTGTTTATAGTGGCGCAGTGTTGAGTGGACTCTCACCAACAGACAGCCTTAATCCAATACCTAGAGCCATTCAAGACAATGGGAGACTGCCTGTGCCCCCATACGATTTGAGTAGTCGAATGAGAAAACACTAGTGAGGTTGAATCGTATCATGAAAAAAATATGACCTCTAAGGTGTGTGTGATGTCTGTCGGTTCATTAATCGCGTAAGGCAATTATTGTATTGATAGTTTTAAACTGTTACACTAATTTCCTCTAAATCGTAAATAAGCGTCACAAAAATTCATTGGTTTGATTAAAATTATGTACAAAATAAACAAATATAAATTGAATATATTATGCTACAAAATTAAAAATGTATTACGGTAGTGTAAAAATTGAAAAAAAAAAGTGCAAAAATCAGTGATACAAGTCACTCGTAAATTGTGTGATTTACAATGACTTAAACCCTGCAATGGATTTATACTTTTTCCACAAAAACATGTTTGATTATTGGACTGAGTTTTGTTTATATGTCAGCACACACATCTAAAAAACGATGCTATATTTTGTTACTATTATTAGAAGTAATAATTCAGATGTGAATTTTAAATCGTACTATTATATTATAGTAAATATTACCCATTATAATGACTAGATTATTTCTGTATGGACCGGCACTTTAATCACAGCCTAATTTAATGTGTGCAAATTAATTTTACGATGCTGCTCGTGCAGAAGATGTCACTTGTCTTCAGGTCGGACTTTCGAATCTGGACAAAATTTCACTTATTTTATATAAGTGTTTTATTGTAGGAAAACGTTCAATGAAAATATACAAAAACACACAGTATAGATACATAACATACAATATAGATACGCAAGTGTTTCTTCAATTATTTCATAGATTTATTTTAGAGTAATTCCGTTTAATATCGAATACAATAATTCAATACAATATGTCGAGCAATTGTGATGCTTCTATACGGTGTGAAGAATTTAGCAATAACTTCGGTTTGTCGCTATTGGAATTACGAATGGCATTGCGGAACAGCCACTATATATCAATGTAGCGCCGTGTTAATACTTAGCGACATTGACACTAGTTGGAATCACATAGGCATAATTAAAATCGTAAGTACGGTTGGAGATGGGTCAAGGGGGAGGAACTCTGCCTCTAATGAGTACTCACTTGATAAAGAAGTAGCTGAGACGGTAATTATTGCACTGTGGGATGGGAGAGTCGACTGACCATAGAAGGCCTCGTAAGAAATAAATTGGACGTAGCTGCCGAAATGCGATCATACAAAATGAAGAGACAGACAGGAAGACAATGACATTGACAATAGACACCCATCAAACATACAAACGTAAAGGATCACAGAATTCTAAAACTGTATTTACATATCATTAAATACAATTAAGAGAAAGAGAAAGGTGGTGGGAGGTGGGAACTTTTCTATTAGATTTACTTTTCTGTTGTATGAGAGTCGCACAAAAAATAGATGGCTATAGAGATGTTTGTGGATAGCGAATAATTAAGTATATATTAATTATTTCAATGATAAAAATGTTTGTTTTACTAGTAAAAATAGATTTCTTATTAGAAAATCTAAGATTTTATTTTAAATTTCAGATTTACTCACAAGAGTTAATTAGAACGTTATAGAAAGTATAAATACGCGAAAGTTTACAACATTCAGTTATGTGTCGATCTGTGATTAAATAATTTTTCCATAAGTAATTATTATTAAATATGCAAACATAGAAGTTTCTAACTAACCTCATGCAAAATTTGAAATTGCTTAAAGTTCTGTTTCAAATTGTTATTTTTTTTTTTAGTGATAAATATTTACTTACCATAGATTCTGATGTCCGTAAAAAGATCAAGAGAATTGGAAGAACCGATGTCCATTTTATAACCACCATATTGTATGGTTAAAATGTTACTTTTAATTTTTTTTCACTTTATGAAATGCGTTCTTATTAGTAGTCAGTCGCTGTCTCTTAGACAATTGATTCTGGTAGCAACAGCAAGAATGAACTGGTAAGGCATAGATGGGCGGAGAGCTTATAAGGGCTTGTAAATTAGATCACGTGAGTAGGTCTTTCTTATTCCATTGGCTGGCCGTGTGCTTATGTATACAAGGCAACCTACCAAAGAGAAATAAAAACAAGCTATAAACAGAGTGGGTAAGAGAAAGTGACCGGAAGAAAATCGTGAAAATGCATAAGCTAAAATTGATACTATAAATTTCCAACCTCCTCATCTTTTCACATATTGTTGGGTTTTCCCCCCTCCTCAAACTCGGAATGGCAAGTATAGCCCCCCCCCCACCTCAGATCTCACCACTGCCACACACTACCACTTTTTGACTAAGTATCACGAGGGCGGGTGCTTATGAGAGAAACGTCTGAATTTTTTAAAACCAGAATAAAAAATAAATAAATAAAAATGGTCAGAATTTCCTTTCTTCAATATTTTTGCGTTGAGTAGCATATCTTAGATTTACTTGGAGTAGTTCTAAGGAGTGATAAAATGCCATGTTTTCTTATTCCTTTGCGAAATGGTCAGTTTGAAAATAAATCCTCTTTCAAGTAATTTAAAGAGACATTGCTAAGACAATTTGATACCTTTATAAAAATGTCCTGCAATTTACAAGCAAATTTGTCAGCCATTTTTCAATGTAATTGTATACAAAGTCAAACTTCATAGAATTTAATTTTTTTTTCACAATATAAAAATAGTAAATAATCTTTCACAAATTTGTTTAATTTTTACGAGTTGAGATTTTTTTTGGGAGAATTAAAGAATGCGTATCTTTTTTCATATTTCGAAATTTTGTATAAAATTAGCAAACAAAGAAAAGGAAAACGTATGAAAGAATGTGATCTTGTACTTTTCCATCAATAACAGGTATAAATTATTTTGGTATAATGACATCTACATGGGCCACTGAACGTTAGAAAACAATTTTGTTAATTAAGGCATAAGAACCTACTCGCAAATAATTTCACACACATTTTAATGGTTTATTAGTAAAAACTGACATTAGGTTTCATTTGAGGAATTTAGATTTCTTAATTTAAAACAAAAATACAAAAATCAGGCGTTACTTATAAGAGATCTCAAAAATTCAAAATGTCGGCACTGTAAAATCTATCCTCATGAAGAATATATCTGTTCTGGAACTAATTTCTATGAGAAAAAGAAAAGCCACTTTTAAGAGCATTTTTCGCTTCAGTTCATTATTTACTAGCAATAATATAATTTTGCTTGTGCTAACTAACTCAGGTATCGTGAGGAAGGACGGAAAAGACGTGTCAGAGACGCTGTTTGGTTTCAGTAACAAGAAAAAAAAGAGGAAAATAAAGGAGGCGAAAACGCTCTCGAGCGTTTAATGTCTGCTTCAGTGGAAGGGGAAAAATCTTGTATTTATAATTTAGTCGCTCATTGGAGATGAGTTAAGCTCCGCTGTAACGATCGAAAAAAATCAACAAGGTGGAGAAAGAAAAAAAAAAAATAAGCAGGAAACTAATCTGGTCGTCAGATCGATCATTTAGAAAGTACACTTTAATACTTTTGCAAAATAAAAAAAAAAGAACGAGTTACAATTAATTAGTTATATTTCTCCAGAATTCTTTCTTGCACTCAAATTTCATAATATTCAAACCAACCATTTAAATTCACCTTTTGTAAATGTAATCTGAAATACCCAGGTAAACAAGTATAATAATAATAATAATAAGAATAAGAAGAAGGAGAAATGTAAAAATAAGGCATATAAAAAAGTACGCATGCACTCATTCATACACTTTTCAATCAAAGCCGGATTTAAGTAAAATTAATAATCTTAGTCTTTCTCTATATGGTAATGGTAAAATTAATTTGCGTTTCAGGAAACATTCGGCATTCATTTATCAACCAGTTAGCGTTAATGTCGGCTGAAATTTATAAAATTTTATTAAAACAGTTTTTCGGGAAATTAAAATTCTCGAGCGTGCTAGATGTTATAGTTCCTTCTAGTATTGATGGCTGTTTCCTTCAAAACTTTGGTTTTTGTAGTGTGTAAAGTTAACAAGCTTTATTATATCATTATTTTCTTCTAGTTAAATGTACTACCCATTTTTGTTGTGGTATTGATTGCAGTGAAAATTGAGAAAATACTGTATATTCATAAATAAAATTAATGTTAATCTTGTTTTAATATTCATCAAAGCTTGAATTTTTTGGCTGCTCGAGATATAAATTTTAATACATCGACCTATTTATACCACTGTCCTCATTGTAATCATGTTGAACATGTCCGTATATTGTAAGCAAATATAAATTGTAAAATATCTAAATTTCGATTTCCACTATCTATACAGCAAGAGGTCGTACGTTACCTATAATAATGACTAAAACAATCAGAACGTACCAACAGGAAATGACCAAGATAAATAATAAACATTTAAAGTAACAACTTCACTGTGGGCATATCTTCCACTAGCAGAGATATAAGTGGAATGCTATTGTCATATAAAAAAGACTATCACGTCAAAGGCGTGTCGTAAAGAATTTAGAGGAATTACTGTCTATGCAACACCAAGACGGCATTCAAAAGCAGTTTCTCCATTTGGAAGATACCGCGTTAGAGAGAAGATATGACCTAGGGTCCAAGAACTGCAAAACTATAAAATCAAACATAGCTGATCGTTTGTAGAGGGAAAGGAGACACAAAACCCACCTTGGAAATAAAGACAAAATAACGGAAAACAACAATAGAAAATAACGCAATTGAAAGAATCAGCGCACATGCCTGGCTTTACTAACCTCTCCAGCAAGCGAAGCCGAGACCAGAACACCATATAGGAAAATGTTATTAGGAAAGAACAGATGTTACAACCACCCGTAGTGGTGGGGGAAGAAGGAGTATCGCGTATAGAGTTATCTGGTGATAAGGAGTTCGATCTCTTTGTTATGCAGTTGTTCACAAGGAAAAAAAAATGTGAGGCTGGGGCAAAAGCAACATTACAAAAACGAATTATTTGCAAACACGAACAGAGGAATGAAAATATTTCCTAGTAGACTGAATGAAGCATTCTAACTGTGGTTCCTAAATGGTTACAAAATACAGCATGGTACAATTATAACAACCAAGGTAAGGTGGCGACTCAGAATGGGGTAATGGTTAATGAGCTCATTTGGTTGACCATTACTACTGAGTAGCGAGTTCGATTCTCACCGAATACCTTATACTTGTGGCTTTGTGTCAAAATAAGCTTAGAAGATGACAATATCAAGATAAAGACTAGTCCGAAAAGATAAATTTCTTGGTTATAAGATACTTTAAACAAAAGTACGCACCAAAAATGGCATTAGATTCTAGGATAATTGTAATTATTGAACCTTCAAATTTCGAAATTTAAATTGGTCAATATTGGAGTTAACTATGGCTATCGACCTTTACTAATATTATTTTTCCTGTGTGATACGAAAACGTCCGTAAAGTAACTGAAAAAATGTCGTCTGACAAAGTAGCTTCCATAATGGTATGAGAAAGTGAAAGAAAATATTCATTAAAAAAGGGGAAGAAAAAAAACACACACACTTTACATATCAGGGATTGGATTCAGAATTCAAAATTGTTATGCAGACTAAAATCATACTTCTAATTTTAATAGAAAGATTTTAATCGATTTTAGTGGAAATAATTTTATAAGCTCGATCGAGAATCATTGTGAAATTTACTATTGCTTCTTAGGACGAGTAAATTTTTCCCTCTACATAAACGTTCAATTGAAATTTCACAAAGTAAACAATACTCACTAGACAATCCAATCCAGATAAATTGTAAAAGGAGGATACGATTGGGAAAAAAAAAATCAATACTTGAATTTGTCTAATACGTTACTTAAAAAAAATGTAAAAAGGGTGTATATTAATTTTACTAAATCACTAAAATGTTTTAAAATAAACTAAAATATAAATTTTATCACGGAAAGTTCAAGATTGGTTTAACTGTCTAGTCAAGATAAGTTTGACTAAATTGTTTCAATCTATTGGCAATAGATTCCAATAGATTGCATTAATAAGTTTAAACACTTCATTTTTAATATTTAACAGATTCAAGCTACAAGTTTATACTAAATTTAACTATTCATTTTATGAAGAACAGATGACTAATTCATAAAAAAAAATCCTTGAGTTTGTACATTCAGCTTTTTCGAAACTCATGTTATCATTTGCGAGTATAATTCGGTGTTTAAATGAATGCAGACACGAATTTAGAACAGCATTTAGCTTTTCAGTTTGAAGCTGATCAAAATGCCTTCGAGCTAGAAAGACATCTCTTTGGCTTCCGAAGTTTTATTTAAAGTTATGTTTTGAAAATGCCTGTACATAAAGGGCAAGTTATATTTGTAAAAATTATGACTTCTTACAGAGATAAGTACCTCACAACCCAGCTAATCTTTATCGGACTTCCTGGTAAGAGGAGCACACACGAATAAAGTGTAAAACAATTAGATCTAAAAGACATCTGCGATAGAATAATAGCCTAAGAGAAAATTAAATTTATAAGACAAAATTAAATGATTTAGAACGAATTAACGAAATTTGAAGATGAAAATTAAAGTTATTAATTTATTTTCCACGTATTTGGCACTTCCCAGAGGGGGTACACATTGTAATGGAGAGATTAAGTTTAAAAAAAAGACAACTTTGAATCAACTACCAAAGGAAGTCATTGTGAATAGTTTTAAGTATTGTTTAGTCTAAATATTAAATTAAAAAGAAAAAAAAAAGAATTAGAAATTTCTGAGTCAGTAATATAAAAAGAAAAATAAAGGAAGCCATGTTACTGGACTGACTTAAGCAATCAATTCTCAAATGTTATTGCTCTCCGAAGAGATAACTCTGGTATATTTTAAATTTTAAGAAAAAG